TTGTTTTTTTGGTCTTAGCCTGTGAGAATTCATATTGTGATTGTTGAGTATTTTCTATGAATGTTTTTTTTATACCATGATTTATTCTAACTGCAAAAATAGCTTTTGTTGTAACCAAGTATCTTACTGCAACAAACATTGTTGTATCAAAAGGAATAAGAGTTTATAAATGCACTGCAACCAAATCTTTACATGTCAAGTTTGAAAATGTTTTCCGATATGTCTCACATAATATCAGTACCCACGGGATCCACAGAGAAATGAAGAGCTATGGTTTTTTCGATAAACGGCTCGAATTGCGACCTCCACATCTGAAAGATAAAGAAAGTTCTCTATTCGATCATCACACCCCAAAATCCATTGCAGAAGGAAGCAAAGAGTAGTATTGATGTTAAGTTAGTATAGTTTCAAGTTGATAAATAGATTCTTACATCTTTATACTCTCTGCCCTTGATGAAAATCTCCATGGCATCAGCTGCATTATTTGCATTAAGCAATAGTGAGAGGAGAATATAAGAGATACAACAGAAGAATGCACAATATTAGGACATTAAGAAAAGTGATTACAGGAACGGAATCGAACTACTGCTGCATGTGTGAATTCCTTACTGTTGTTGTTAAAGTTTGAACCTGGATATCGAAAAAATCAAAGCCGCGATGAGATCAATTTGCGGTTGATATATATAGTTCCAAGAAGCATAAAATCCACTTCTTGATAGGTACCTTGTGTGGACTGGACAATTAATGATGGAAGCGATGAAGTTAGCTTTGCAAAAGAATCCATTGCATCTTTAGTGTTCTTTTCGGAAGCGTTCTTCGCAAAAGTAACCAGAAGAACAAACTCTTCGCCGTAGTTGTACTCCTGCCACGGGGAAGTAACTCGGTCTGTTACTATGTAAAAGTAATAAACCTTTAGCTCTAAAGCTATGGAGCTAAAATGAGAAACAGTGAAAGCAAAGCTCAGAATACGAAACGAGTTCATCATACCTCGCCCTTTCGAAAAATGGGAAGGATGTCATCTTCGACCTCTGATTCATAGTCCACATTAATCATCCCCTGATACATTAAAACCCGAGGTTAAATAAGAACGAAACATAGAGAAGACGAAGATGAGAAGACAGAGGGTAATGAGAAGGAAATGGCGTTTACATGTAAAGGCATACATGGCAGAATGGTGTTACATGTTCATTGAGAACTTTCAAGAAGAAAGGATTCTCATAGAACTTGTCAAGGTCTTCTTTCCTCTGGAATCTCATGTATAGACCGTGCGTGTAATCTTCCTCGTTTCTATCACCGATACAACCTATGAGAGTAAATCGAATCAACAAAACACTACAATAGGAGATTCTCTATCTAGTGGAATCCTAAATAAAGTCCTTAAGCCAAAAGCAAGAATCTGAGAACCTCACCTACAGATATAGCAACAATGCCTCTCATTTGGTATTGAGATGTGTAGAGATAATCAAGCATATCTTTTTCTTGCTCCTCAGATAAATTCTCTTTTGCTTTGAGCAAACACAAATGCTCCACTACTTTCCTGTTGTAGTTCATAACAAGTTATAAACTTTCAAAATGTACGGTTATTGAATCTACATGCCAAAGTTAGATACTTTCTCAAGAACCACAGATCCAAACACACACACACACATTAACATAAGCATTCACAAAAAAAGAGGTAAAATTCCAAAAAAAAACTGAACCTTGTCTTCTTCGATTTGGTACTTGAAATTTGATCATCTCCAGAGCAAAATGCTACTTTTGGGTTCTTTGTTCGGTATTGATGCACAAAGACGCCTCCTTTAGACCCAAATCCTGTCAAATTGCAATAAAGCAAAATCTCTTAGGTCACAAATGATGTCAGTGAAACAGTGTGTGTCGCAGATTTGAAAAATTCGAATCTCCAAAATAAAGCCGAAAATTTACAATCGCGAGGATCTTCATGAGAAAGAGAGTATGAAAAGGCTCAAAGTTTGTACCTTTGGAGAAAAATGGGAGAGTGAAACGAGAGAGAGCTAAAGCTTGATGGATCATCATCGTCATTATCGAGTGTAGCAGACCAAGTCAGTCTCGCATGGTTGATGCTTTTTTTTTCTTATCACATCTCTTCCAACATAAAAAGATTTAAGAAAAAGAAAAAAGATTTTTGGGGTCTGTGGTAGTTTTGTAATCCTTTTTGCGCCACAATATTCGTTATCTCTATTTATTATTTGACATA